CTGGCGCGCGGGCGCGGCCGCGTGCGAGGGCCCGCGAACCTGCGTGCGCTGAGCGCGTGCGTGCGCGGGGCGATTGCGTTCATTCGTCTCGCGGCAGCCAGGGCGCTCCCAGCGCGCTGGGGCGCGTGGGCGAGTCCGCGCGGATGCTGCGCTCTCGCGCATTGTGCGCGCTCGACGGCCATCGCGCCCCTGATTTCGCCCTCTGTGGCCCTGGCGGCCACCGCTGGGGGCGCCGCCGTCGCGACGTCGCATTCGCGGGCACCGTTCACGAGATGCGCGCGCGCGTTTCATGCGGCGAAGGCCCACCATGCCCTGGACACGCCGCTCGGCCATCCACCGTGGTCCTCGACGCGCGCGTGGGCGCGTCTGCCAGTGCGCCTGAGGTTCGCGAGCTGCTTGATAAACCTTCGGGGCACTGGAGACCAGACTCGTGGTCTTTCTTAAAGTGTCCCCGTGGTGCTCGTCCAGCCCGAGTCGGCGCTGGCCGAAGATGACCGCGTGTGCGCCAGGTGCTACCAGCGCCTCCAGCCAAGGAGGCTCGCTGCACGGCCGCGATGGGTCGGGCTGCTCTGGGCTGCGGCTGTAAGTGTGCTTCGTAGCCGGAGAATCGGCCGCGCGGGGCTGCGTTCTCGTCGGGGCGCAGCCCGACGTGGTAAATGTGTTTGAAATTACACGTAGCTCATCGACCGAAAAACCGGCAAGTGGGAGCCTTGCTGGCCACTAGGGGCCATGCTGTCGGATGTACCTCTACTCGGCCCTCTGCTGGCTGTCGTCGTTGAGGTCGCAGCCCGTGACCAAGCCGAGGTTGGCGCCTGTCCTGAAGTGGCGGTGGGCAGCGCGTCTGCTAGTCCACGCCTCCCACCGCAGATCTCCATGATGTCGGCGCCGTGAACGATGGAGGTGAAATTGGTGAGGAGATGGCGGATGGCGCCAAATTTGGCTATGGCGCCGGCCCCCCCCCCGGCATAACAATGCGGTGGACTGTGATGTTTGAGCATTGGCCGTGCTGGCCCGAAGCGATCGAGCACTCGCTAGGTGACCATGTGATGCCAAGGCTGACGAACCCTGAAATCACGTCGGCAAGACAGAAATGATATCGCCGTGGAGGTCGTGGTCACTTGCAACGAAATCGAAGCAATATATTGGGAGGTCGGCGCCGCGATCGTCCCATTGGTCATCTACGACCTGTTCTCATGATTTGGACACGTGGCCCTCTTACCTTCGCTGTCTACCGTATGAGCTCTGCGTCGGGGTGGCCGCCGAGAACATAGTCGCCGGACGCCTCCAGTAGTTCATCGAATTTGTCGTCCAGAGCGTGCTGCTTGGTGCCGTGCTGCTTGGTGGTGTGCTGCATGATCTTGTGCTGGCTGGTCACCATCGGATTGAAATTGCGTTCGAGTCTGGCGAAAAAACTGCCGTCGTGCCTCGGTGCAAGCGCACCTTCCGCGGTGCGCTTTGTCGTCGTGCTGGCATGTTTCCGTTTGTCTCGAACTGCGTGTGCAGAGACCGATCGAGTGGCAGACGGTGGCGAAATCACCAGGTTGGCGCGTGGAGCAGTTGACGGATGTCTTTAACCAACTGGACCTGGAAAACGAGACTCCCTCTCCAGTCCCGTGGTTCCCCAATGCCTTGTTTGGACCCATAGATACCTCGAAGTGTCACCTGTGGGCTTCCCATTTTTTGAAGACAGCGAGTATATGAGGTGCGCGGGGAAGGTTTTGGCGGTGGTGGAAGCCTTGGAGGTGGACAACCTGGGTATCTTCAGAAGGGAATTCGGAGGCCTACGGAATTATTCAGAAACTTTAGGTGCAACGTCATTGGGCTGAGTGGTTATTGCGTCGAGCCCCCAGAAGAATGGTGGTCGAGCCTGGAGAAATTGCGGGCGATGGGTTGACGTGTGATCGACGATTCCAAACTAAACGTGCCATGCCATCAACAGAGGCAAACGTCGGGAGGTCAACGCGATCTTTCGGATCTTGCTTCCGAGCTTGTCACGAGCCAATGCGCTGTGTGTTCTTCGACTTTCACGGGAAGTGGGCATCTAGTGAATGCTGCATACTGTTACGGGGGATGCCGTGTTCTGCATACTGTTACGGGGGATGCCGTGTATATTCGTCAAAAATCTGACGCGCCGATTGGTGATGTTGAGATTCGTGCTTGCCCCAAGAACAGCCATTCGAAAACTACGATTGCCTTCGCAGACGTCTCAGCACCCACCTCCCGCGGCCAGTACCTGAATGTCTATGTATGTTAGCTGCGCGCCCACCCATCAAGTCCGCCGGCGTCACCCCCCAGCGGGGGAGAGGCGCCCCAAACGCGTCAGACGAAGGAGGGCGCAAGACGCCAGATGCGCAGCAGAAGAAGTACGTGGCGAAGGCCGAGTTAGACGGCTGACGACCATGGAGATCGCAGAAGTGAAGGAGGTCGTGCCAGTCATGACGATGAGGACGCGGCAGCAAGTGTCGGAGACGCTCGTGACGCTGTTGATGATGGAGAGCGCCGTGCCGATCCAGCGCTCGAGGGCTCGGGTCAAGGCGTGGGTCGAAGCGGCGCAGGACCTCAGGGCGAGGGGGAAGGAGGAGGCAGAGAAGACGGGACCAATTCGATCGCGGCCCTCGAGGGCCTGGTCGAGGTGTGCGTGGAGACGGGACCCTGTCGGCGCGGCCAATGCCGAGAGGCTGGTGAACTGACAGACGGAGATGGCCGCCCTGAGCCTGTCGGTGGTCAACCAGATGCTCCCATTCGTCGAGCTCCAGATGGCCTTCAAAGATGGTAAATGCAAAATGATGAGGCCACAGCCCGGGTCGTTCAAGGTGTCGATCTGCTGCTTAGGGCAGCTCGGGGCTACGGTCAAGGTGGGGGTCGCCCCCATGAACCACGTAAAGAGGATCTTGCAGACCTTCCTGTTGGACGGCGAGGAGTCAGGCATGATATGAGTTACGGATATTTGAATATGGGTGTGGTACGGCGGTATCTGGTGATATGAGGGAGCTGAGGTAAACCCATTGTGTCACTCCGGCATGTTTGAGGGATGCCAGCAGAACGTCAATGACCACATCTACTTCGACTGCCCCGTGCTTCGTTGACGGCGGCTGCGGCCCAGAGTGCCAGAATAGCTTCGACGACTGTACATACTTCTACTCCTCCTTCGTTGTCTCCGTCGTCGGCTGCAGGTACTGTTTCGAGGATCCTTCGGCCCGCCCGCTTGCTGCCTCGGAGGTCGAGAACCCTGCGTGTTCTCTCTCCTCCTCGCGTCCTCCCCCTTCTCCGAATGCTGGGACACCTGGCAAGCGTGCCAGGACCGATCATATTCGTAGGTTTCGGGATTCTGGTTTCGGAACGAGTTTGGCGGGATGGGCCGCTTGCTTGATCGGCTTTTCGAATTGGTGAGTTTTGTGATGTAAGTGCGATTAGGGGGTTGAACGTTGAACCTCTGGAAGCACAGCGCGGACTGGAGGTCCGAATTTCGCGGCTGTCAAACTGCTCCTTGGGCAGCCTCCAACTGTCACGTAATCGACCTGTGCCCCTATAGGTGTCTGATGATCTTCGTCCTCGTCCTCCCTCATCGTTTTCTTTTCCTTGTCCTCCTCTTCCTCGTCGTTGTGGTGGTGGTGGTCGTCGTCGTCGTCCTCCTCCTCCTCCATCGCCTCCACCCGGGACCGAGGGATGGCCCGAATAGGCTCTCCAAGGCCACCCCCTTGCTCCCAAAGATTGTTCACCTTGGTTGCCCGCTTTGTTTCAATCCATGTGTCTCTTCGTCCCTTTTCCCGCTTGTGTGGGATGGGCTAGTGGGGATATGCGAAGCGTGAGGGGATTCTTAGGTTCCTGATGTGATTTAGCTGGGTCCGGCAAGCCCCATGCACGCTCATCAGCTTGCAGGCGGTCCCTCTGCGAGCCGGGATTGCCGCGGAGTTGCAGCAGCGTGCTGTAAATCCCTCACGAACGCACGTGACACTGGCCCATGTGTTACGGGACTGCGCAGGTGCGGGACGCAGAAGGACACGCCCTGGGAGCGCACGTCTGAGCCAAACGTAGACCGCGAACATGCTATGGCCAGAAAACGCCCGCCTCCGAACACATACTACACCGTTTTCTGAGCGCGCGCGTCGTCCTTGGAGCGGGGGGCGACGCACACGCAATAGAAGTATGGTGGAATGATGTCAGATTTTCAACTCCATATTGCAAACCTCTGCGAGCCAACGGGTTTGGACGATGTGTCAAGCGCCGCGGCCGTTCCAAAGCGTTTCAGAACACTTTGGAACGATTTGTCTTCGTCCTATCGGGAGTCCTCAAACAGTGCGGTGACAGACCGTGCGGTGACCTCGAATTTCCTAAAGACCTCACCGTACAGTCCGTCACCTCACGGTTCTGAGACCCTGAAGGCCCCAATCGCCCGAGACATCCTCGGAACTCCACCCGCGTTCCAAAACCGGGAATCCTCACTGACTCACGCGGTGGTGTGATCACCGCACCGCTTCGGGACTTCCCTCCCTCGGGCCCACCTGAGGTCCCCGCCCGTCTGCCCCGACGCCCTCCGGCCAGAACAGACAACGACCGGCAACACGCAGGAGTGACCCTGGGCAAGAGTGACCTTTGGCGCACAGCTTTCGCGGGGCGCGGGTGGAGCAAGCCGATGCTGTCGCATCGCGGTCGGCGATCGGGGGACTCTAGTAACTGTGCCCGCGTCGAAAGTCACCCCCCAAACCCCCGACGTCGTGATGTTTCATAACGCGGACTCCTGGAGGCCTCGACCCCTTCCCTGGGACCAGTTTCTCATCCCGAATCGTTTCTGCTTATCCTGGGGCCCTGTAAGGGCCCCCACGAGCCGAAAATGACCGAAAACCCTGAGGGGCCCCCGAGGCAGAGGATGGCCGAAACCCTCGCGCCGTGACTTTTGCACGACTCGAGGGGGCATGGGTCCGGCGCGAGGGCGCTGCTTTGGAGCCCGGCCGAGAGGACCGCCCCGAAGTCTGCTGCCACCAGCCCGCTCGCGGTCTGCATCACGTACGCGGGGCTGTCCTCCGGCGCAAGCGGAGACGACGGCTCGGCCGCCGCGCGGGGCGCGCCCTCCCCGCGGCCTGGCTCTCTCCGCGCCCCCCGCTCGCAAGCGCGCAGACAGGCATTCTCCCCGTCCTCCTCCTCCACTCCCAGTCTCCTCCTCTTCCACCTCCCTCCCCCCCTGCTCCTTCCTTCCCCTCCTCCTCCCCTCCCCCGGTGGCTCATATTTTCGGGCCCCGTAGTAGCGACCTTACGCCGCAGCTTCCGCAGGCCGCCAGCGCTGCACGCGAATGTCAGCTTGTGATTAACAAATCCGTGGGGGCGCGTGTTAAAAAAAAATCCCCTGCTCGGGCGAATCGCAAGGAGGCGCCCGCCAGATTGAAGATCAACGGGGCGGCGCCGGTGATTAGCGCCAGCGCCCGGTCGTCATCGAGGGGCAAGGGGGGGGTGTTTGGAGGCAAGGGCGACCCAGGGCGCCCTCTTTCTGTCGAACCGATGCGGGCCTGCGGGCAAGGCGGGCTGGACGAAAGTGGGGCGCAGCAAAGGGGGATTTGCCAGGCAGCTCACATCGCCGATTTTCCAAGCGCCTCCTCGCTCCGAAAGCGGCCATGCGTCGAGGACTGGCCCTTGGGCGGGGCGACCGAAACCAGCTGCGCGCAGCAGGCTTCGCATCCCCCCCTTTCCTTCCCCAACTTTTCGTCCTCCACCACCTCCTCCTCCTCCTTCTTCTCCACTGTCTCCCCCTCCTGCTCGTCCTCCTCCTCCTGCTCCTCCTCCTCCTCCTCCTCTTCCTCGTCCTCCTCCTTTTCCTCGTTCTCCTCCCTCCCTCTCCTCTCTCCTCCTCCCCCCTGGCGCGCGTGGTTAAAAAAAAAAATGCGCCCCGCGAGGTCTATTCATCAGCCCCGGGGGGGGTCCAGTCATTTGTTAATCACAGGCTGACATTCCCCTGGAAACGAGGGCGCTTACGCGCGACCTTGCGCGGACAGCTTACGCGCCAACGTCGGCTAAAACGTCCCCGTTTCCTTGCGTCGTCCATCTGGGGAAGCAGAACAATATCAATGATACGCCGCTGGGGGGAAACTATCACCGCGCTACTGTTGAGGAAACACCGGGCCCTCGGACAAAAACAAGGGAGGCTCCCTGCGGCGGCATGTCATTGATACCCTTTATCCCTACCGACGATTCCTCTTTCAGTGCTCCCCCCTCCTCCTCCCTCTAAAAAAACTCAACACAGCACATGTATACACGCTTTCTGAGGTCCGCGCTAATTTCTTGGGTCGGCGCTGGGCCCCCATCCCTGGCGCGCGGATCGCGCCATTGGCGGCGCTGGAGGCGTCGCCAGGGGTCCTAACGCAGACCCGAGAAATATGTTCGGAGCTCCGAAAGTTTATGATTATGATTAAGTCGGGCGTGTCCCCCTTCAGGGGGATTTTCGGCGAAAAATGAAAAAGATACTCAAAACATACTCCAGAATGGTCAAACATACAAAAAGTCGTCCCTTGACTATTTGTTTGACTATTTTTGAAACACCCCCCTGTAGAAGGAGAGGCCAAGCTCATGCTGTTTTTTTCCTTCGGTCTTCCCGCCTGCCTCGCCCCAGTGGCTCGGGGACGAGCAGGCAAGGCTCGACATCAGCGGTGTGTTCCGTTGCCGTTTCTGTTTTTGTGGTCCCATTCGACCGGAAGAGGTGCGCTCTCGACCCGCGAATCAATAACTGTTTTTGTGGTCCCTCGCCGTCTTCGTCCCGCCTTTGCCGGGGAACGAAGTCGAAACGGACACGGTCCGCGAAATCGCCAAACCACCGTGTAGGCAGAACCCTGCGAGGAGGTGGTGGCCCCCCGATGTGACCGCAGAGGGAGCACTGGCACGCGGGGTCCTGGGACGACAGCGCGTTGCCTGAGGGCACCCGCGCGTCCGCTCGCGCCGCGGGGGCGAAGGCATGCGCCACCCGCTGTGACTCGTCGTCGTCGTCGTCGTCGTCGTCGTCGTCGTCGTCGTCGTCGTCGTCGGGGCGCGTCCCGAGCGGGCCGCGCAAGGGGCTCCAGGAGCTGACCCCCCCTGACATCCTGAGAACGGCGAGCGCAGACCCCTTCGAGTCACGGCGGGAGGCTTTCGGCCATGTCTTCGGCCTCCTGGGTCCCTCATGTTCGTCCTCGGGGGGCCCCCACTGGGCCCTGGGGCCGTCAAGAGACGACTCGGGATGACCGATAGTCGGCATGCACCTACTTTCACTGAGGTCCGCGAGGAGCGCACCAAGGAGGGCAGTCCAGCGCAGATCCAAGAAGTCCGCGCGGACCTCCGAGAAGCTGTCTTTACGCCGCTGCGTGTCCTTCTATAACTGCCCCCTGGGACAGTCGCAACAAGAAGGATTCGGGATGAAAAGCTCGTCCCACGGGAAAAGGTCGAGACCTCCAGGGGGGGAGGGTTGGCACAGCCGCGATGGGTACGAACGAAATAGGCACGATGCCCAACAACAAGCGTTCTCAGAAACCGGCAGCGGCCGCTGTTGGGCATACGAACTGATGTCTCTAAGGTCCACTCTGATAAATAATCACGACCTCGGGGGTCTGGGAGTTGCGACGGGGGGAGCGGCCAGGCTGGGCTGCACGAGTGGCCCCCCTTCCTCGTGTGCTCACACCCCCTTCGGCTACACGTAAGGGTGACCCAAGACAGGAGTGACCATTGGTGCGTGACTTTCGGGGGCCGCGGGGAGGCCGAACCCGAGCGCACACGCCGCCGCTATCGCATCGCATTCGGCCATCTGGAGGCCCCCGGTGTGCCCGCACCAAAGGTCACTCTTTTTGTTGGGGGGGAGGGCACCATCGGCCGAACCAGTTTAACAAGCCGCACCATCTCGCCTCGCTGCCTTTCTCTCTCGGCTGTCCGAGATCAGATGGCAGCAAGGCAGTCCAGTGGGGCGGTGCGGGCAGCCAGCTGCTGCCTCCTCGAAGCGGTGTCATACGCATGAACCTCTGGCCCTGACACAGGCACTTCATGTGCCGCACAAGTGACGCGCACGTCGCGCGTGGAGGGCCATCCTCGCTTGAGGCGTGACAACGCGTTTGCACCACCGCTGTGCGCTTCCGGTTGGCAAAGGGCCGCCAGCTTCCTTGTCTCTCCTGCCTGTAACACCCCCACAAGATGGAGAAACATAAGGGCAACTCCTCATCTCCAACCTGGGTACTCGCGAGCTTACGGCCATTCGTCGGGGCCTCCGCTTTGGGGTCTGTCTTGGGAGCCCATGACATCCCATTTCAGGTCTGTCTTGGGGTGCTCCCCTCCAAAGGTGACTCTAGCGAAAAGTCACTCTCACGTGCAGCCGGCCTCTCCTCTCCGCAGCCTCTGGATCAGGTCAGGACCTGGCCAGTGGCGACGATTGAGAAGACATCCATCTCAGAGAAGGGATGGGGGCGGGTATGGCGCGGGAGACATCGAGGGATCCTGAGGGGAAAGAGGTGGAATCATGATGATGAACATGATTCTTATAGTTTGCCGTCCCACTGGGCCAACGGCGTGCTACTCTGCCTCCCTCATCGCTCGCTCGCTCGCTCGCTCGCTCGTTGTCGTCGGACCGTCGACGTCGACCTCGTCCTCGTCGCCCTCCTTCTCCTCCTCCTCCTCCTCCTCCTCCTCCTCCTCCTCCACCTTATCTTCAAGCATGTAAGATTAGGCGATCTGGTCGAGCCCGCGCGCGCGAGTGCGCCCCTGGGGTGTCTGCGGATCCCACTGGCGCCCGAGCCGTGCCAAGAGCGCCCCGAGAGCTCGGGCCAATGGAACCTCACGGTGGCCAGCCGACCACGTGATTATGCGAACGCAGCTGCGAGAGTCTACACTTCAAGGAATCTGGCCCAGTCTCAGAATCCTGTCTTGGTCTCTTTATGTGGTGCAAACTGTTCGTTCCCTCTCGCACATTGCCCTGGCTTCCCGGCAACATCTCGGCTCTCCGGCGGCCCTCTGGAACCATCCAGGCCCTGGAACGCCCTTTGAGCGCTGCCTGATGGAGGGGCGATGCGTGGGGGGGTGAAGAAACCTGCACCCTTCGTGCCCCTTTTGGGCCCCCAAGGTGCACCTTTCTTGACCCCCCCCCACTGCGCAACGCTTATGTCGGGCGTGCCCCCCTACTCCACAAATACCCCAAGAAGGTCAAACAATACTAAAAAAATAGTCCCCAGACTATTCTTGGAATATTTTTGATTATTTTTGTGGTATTCTTTCTTTTTCGTCGAAAATCCCCCTGTAAGGGGACAGGCCCGACTTAACGCAACGCCCGAGCCCTCGGCGAGGCACCGCCCTGCTGGAGAACCGCTGGCAACTGACGAAAACGTCCGAAGGCCTCGGACTTCGAGGCCTGCCCTCCTCGAGCCCGCTTGGGAGGCCCGGAGGTCCTTCGGGTGCCCTGCGTCGCACTGCGGGCGCTGGCCGCAGGACGTCCCCAGCATTTTGCCAAGCTGTGGCCCCACAGGACATGCCCAGACAGGGGCGCGCGACCAGCTGAAACGGCGCGCGGCAGTCTCCTTGTCTTGGGCGTTGCGTCATGGAGGGGGGCATTAAATCGGGGGGTGGGGGGGGGGGATCGATGTGCACTTTTCGTGCCCCTTTTGGGCCCCAGGGGGCCCCTTCAGGGCCCCTGGAGAGCACGAAGGGTGCCCCTTTCTTTCCCCCCCGATGAACCGCTCCCCGTCAAGCAACGCCCGATCGTCCTGCTCCTGGGGGTCCTCCGGCTCCGCCTCCCCGGCAGAGAACGAGGGAGTGCCCGCAGAGGACAAGTCATTACCGAGGTGACGTTCGAGCTCACGCGTGAAGGATATGCGTAGACGGGACCCGCCTGCCTAAGTGCACCTCCCCTCTTCTGCTGCTCCTCATCCTCCTCCTCCGCCTGCTCCTCTGCGGCTGCATGCCTGACGAAGTTCGCGACAGGCGGCCGCCACTGAACGACATGCTCATCTCAGTTCCGCCGCCTGTGAACGTCATGCCCATGTCAGGCCCGCCGCCAGTGTACGGCATGCCCATGTCTGGCCCTGCAATCGGCATGCGTTGCCGAGGGAGAAACACAACATTACCGCACTGACGCGAACGGTGCTAAGAGACAACACCTGAAACATCATCAATCCACTTATCCATGTCACTCAGTCCAGAATCGCATCTGGGCCCATGGCAATAATCACTATCACCATCACCATCGTAATCATCATCAGCATCTTCACCACCACCACCATCCTCATCGTCATCATCACCATCATCATTATCAGCATCATCATTATCATCATCGTCATCATCATCATCATCACTATCATTATCGTCATCATCGTCGTCGTCGTGGTAATCGTCAGAAGGATTCGCTGCCGACTGTCGTCAGCAGATAGGTGCGGCCAATCAGGTAATAAGCATGCAATGCCGACATCGGTGACGATCACCTAAATTCAACGCCGTCGGTCAACATGCATCAACCAGATTGTTGACATTCGCCACCGCCGCCCAGTGCCCTCACAGTGGTTTCCCATCAAGTGGACCCCATCGCTATTGCAATCACCGGCCTTTTCACCCACCATCACTCACACTGTCATTGTTATGGCCAACCGGTTATAGTAAGCACACATGATATTACCATGGCGACTGAGGACACCATCATCATCGAATGGTTGCCTGCGGTTGCTCTGGTCAACTATTGCGCGTGGTCCGTGTACGCGCGCGCGTGTGTGTGCGTGTGCGTTTGCGTGTGCGTGTGCGTGTGTGTGCGTGCGCGTGTGTTGTCGGCACTGTCGGTACTGGAATGTCAGCCTCAACACCAAACTCTGGCACCGCAAACTCGCGGCGCTGCGAATCCCTTACGTCGGTTTTCGAACTGCCGTGCCGGAGGCTGCGCCCCGCGCGCGTGCGCGTGTGCGTGCCTGTGTGTGCGGCGGCGTGCGCGTGTGCGCGTGCCTGGGTGTGTACCTGCCAGGCAGGCGGGGGTGCGCGTGCGGTGTGCGGACGGCGTGCTTGGCTGGCGGGAGCGACTGGTGTGGGTATGGCTTGTATGGTGTGTATGTGTGTATATGTGCATTCGTGCGTTGGGGGCGCATCGTGAGCTATGTGCATTGAGTGTGTCGTGTTTTGTATCGTGTGCGTGTGTTTATGTGCGAAGGTGCTAACAATGACGATGGCGTGGCGATGCTGATGATGCCGCGGCTGATGATGATGCTGATGGCGACGATGCTGCGGATGATGATGATGATGATGATGATGATGATGATGATGATGATGATGATGATGATGATGATGATGATGATGATGATGATGATGTTGATGGTGATGATGATGATGATGACGACAACGATGACGAAAAAACGCTTCCCGTCATAGAATACGTCCGAAGACAATTAGACCAACATGTCATTACTTAAAGGACGTCCAGGGTTCCCTCGGAAGCCGATCGCTTGATGATATCCCCAGCGAGAGCCTGATTCGTGAAGATACGTCAAATCCACAAGCGATTCCACCATCTCAATTTGTTCGAGGATGTCTCGAGCGAGGGCTTCACTTTTAACGATGCGACGTCTTGAAACACTGCCTTCAATATTTTATGTGTTGGAGGATATCTCAAACGAAACTGCGATTCCTGAATATTCGAACGATTTCGCGACCGATCTCAACAGCTCCACTATTCGAAGATGTCTCGAGCGAGAGCTTCAATTTAACGACAAGATGTCCTAAACCTACTCCTTCAACTACTCGCATTGTTGAATGATGTCTCGGGCGAGACGCACATATTCGGGGAAACCTACCCGGGCAAGAACGGGAACGGCCGCTTCTCTGATCTTGCGTGCGCACACGCGCTCGGACTGGCACCCAGCAAACATGTGCGCACACGGGGTGCAGTCGCTGGGAGTCCCTGGATGCCCAGATGGTTGCCGCTTCTATCTTGGGTTTCGTGGTTGCCTGTGCTTGCTTTAGTCAGCTGTAGTGCGTGGCCTGTGTATGTGTGTGTGTGCGTCTGTGCGTATGTGCGTGTGTGCGTGTGTGTGTGTGTGTGCGTGTGTGCGCGTGTGCGTGCGTGTGTGCCTGTGTGCCTGTGCGTGCTGCTGCGTGCGCGGCCATGTGCGTTCGTGCGCGCGTGTATGCGGGGCGTGTGCTGGGCGGGCGGGACGGGGGCGTGCACGCGATCATGCGGGACGTGTTCTGGGGGGGACGGGCCGGGGGGTGCACGGCGTGCGTGCGGAGCGTGTTCTGGGGGAAACGGGCGGGAGGGGGTGTACGGCGTGAGTTTGCGCAGCAACGGTCGATTGTACGCAAGCTGTGCAAATGTGCAAAACGAGTGGTTGCACGTAAACGGTAAAACAAAACCATCGATAATGTACCGTTTACGTGTAGCCCCACATGTGTTCTCTTTACGTGCAATTTGTCATGTTCGATCTCGCACCGTTACATGCATGCGGCCAGTCATCTTGGGCCGTTGTGGACTGTGCTGCATTTTCGAAGGCTGTTTGCGCAACAGCGGTCGATTGCACGTAAACTGTGCAATGGTGCAGAACGAGACGTTGCACGTAAACGGTGCGACACTAACATCGATAATGAATCGTTTACGTCCAACATTACACTTTGCACTGCTTGCGTACAAATTTCCGTGTCCGGTCTCGCGCAGTTTACGAGCAGCGGGTCATCTTGGTCCGTTTTATTATTATTATTACATTTTAAAAAGGCACGGTTCACGCCGAGTTACTTAAGTTTGTTTCGGAAGGCGGTCGACCTCTCGGTCGAGCAATTATCAACTCGCCTCGGCGCGTCCTCTGCTCTTCCTCACTCGGGAGCACCCATATGCCACGCGGGGTGCCAGGTGCACGCGCGTGGCATTGGGAAGCGAGGGGTGGAGGAATCAAAGCTCCAAGCACGTGAGAGAGCACGGTGCATGCGAGCAGTGATGCGCAACCGCGCTTCAAAGGCCTCGGCAGGCGAGGCGCCACGCCTCGGCCGCCGAGAATTAAGGGCAGCGAAAAAAGCATCAACACAGGCAGCGCGCTTCAAACAGGCCTTCACGGAATCAAAGAAGAGGAGAGAGCAGGAGAGGAACCAATGTTGTCTCACATGTCCACGACGGACCTCCAAATCTTGACCCAACCAAGAACGGAATAATCTTTCAAGTTCTGGACACTGAGCATAATGACGAATGGAGTCAAGATCTTCGCTGGCAGAAGGCTGGCAACCAAATAAACAGCCGGCAGCGCACGAGTGAAATCGAGCTGAGGTGCACACTGATCCAGTGATCAATCTGAGCGGTGCAACACCAACGTACATTAAAGACACAGAACAGACACGACGTATAGCGTTGCAGAAACAGTCGACGTGTTCCATGTCTAGGCTGAGATCCAGCAGACGAATGCGACGAAGAATGGTGTGACGAACGGGTTCAGTGTTGTAGGGCTCTAAAGGCAAGGTAAAGATGATGTTGAAGCTTGGAGGTGCCAGCGCAAAGCTCCAAGTTCAGCCTAGGAAACCAAGACCTCGACCTCCTCGCACACCCCAAGAAAAAATCCGGATTCCACCCCACGTGCCACCGATACGGAATATGCTCCAGGTCCTCCCGAGTAGCCCCCAAGTCTTCCAAGACGCCAGAAAGACATCGAGATCGAAGGAAGTAGCGGATGTGGGCAGCTCTAGACAAGGCCAATATCTCAACAAACTCCGATCGAAACCCAATCGACTTAAGCTTGACGGCGATATTATATGAAATGGCATTCCTTGGGCCTGCAGTCAGGCGCATCACAGCCTCACGGAACTGGTGAATGAGAGACACACTGGGCGGGTACAACTGCAGTCTATACAACAGCTTCGAGACCCACAGCACGCGGAACGCCATCGCACTCTGCGCCAAACCTAGTCCGAGATGGCGAGTTTGGTGAACTCTCTCCAAGAAACCAAACATAACGTCAGTCCAGACGTGCTTGCCCGCCTCAAGGCCAATCGGAAATCCCAGGTACAGGGCCCGACGCGCAACTTGAAGCTGCGAAAACGGGTCGCCATACCTCGCCAGCGCGGAACGAAGCAGCTCCTTGCTTGTGCTTCCACAAAGCACAATCTGACATTTTTTGAAGTTAAGCTTCAAATTGGCGGTGTACTGCAACTGCATTAAGGCAGAGAGGAGCGGATCTAAATCGACAAGGACATTCATCCGCCCAAAGAGGAAGCCATCTGCATACGCAAGAGTGAGGTTGACGTTCACCTCGCACCGATGTCTAAGCCACTTCAGAAGCGGTTCCACCGCAAGCACGAACAATAACATCGATGCAAGACAGCCCTGTTTCACACCTGACCCGATTGCAATCATTTGGAAACGACGACCTGCGAGAGTGACGATGGCACGATTCGAGGTGTACACCATGTGGAAAAACTCCGTAACAACCGAGGGGATGTGCATCTGCTTTAAGACAAAGAATAACCAACCCTGCGCGAGGCTAGGGAAGGCAGAAGCAAAATCCGTAAGCAGCAGTGCAGCGCGCGGGTCATCACGCAGGTGTCTGGAGAGACCCCAAGCTTCAGCACGGGCCACGCTCTCAATCAGATCCCCCCCTCCAATACATTTCTGCCCCCTCCCAATCACATCCTCCGAAGCCGAGATCATGGGGCGAATGAACGCAGCCGCCAAGGTCTTCACATCAGTATTGCTCATACTCAGTGGGCGAGTCGCCACGGGCGTCCTCGAGAGAGCGCCTCCAGGGCGATCCGGAGGGTCCGAGCCCTTCGGAAGAAAAACAAGCAGGCTCAACTTCATATCATCTGGGAGAGAGTGGGTGTCGTTCGTGAAGAGGGAGAGGTGACAAGGGTACCAAATGCTCGACGCGTCAGGGCACTTCCCAGCCGCGTGCGGGATGCCATCAGGACCTGGCATGCTGTGCGGGCGCTCGCGGATCATCTCAAACCAAACTGGGTACTCGAGTTGCCACTGAGTATCCAGAGGAGAGTCGATCTGCGAAATACACTCGCGAACATCATCCCGGAGAGTAGAATATACCGCGAACTCCCGAAATATTCCAGCCCAGGAATC